TATGCAAATTGACCCTCACACCCTCACGTCACAAGATGGCCGCCCATGTCATCACAAGATGGCCACCCTCACATCATCAGAAGATGGCTGCCCCCCTGTTGTCACAAGATGGCCACCCCCACATTGCCACAAGGTGGCTGGAAGGGGATGGCAGTTGGGGGCAACCAGGCCTGCAGGGGAGGGCAGTTGGGGGTGATCAGGCCTGCAGGGGAGGGCAGTTGGGGGTGATCAGGCCTGCAGGGGAGGGCAGTTGGGGGTGATCAGGCCTGCAGGGGAGGGCAGTTGGGGGTGATCAGGCCTGCAGGGGAGGGCAGTTGGGGGTGATCAGGCCTGCAGGGGAGGGCAGTTGGGGGTGATCAGGCCTGCAGGGGAGGGCAGTTGGGGGTGATCAGGCCTGCAGGGGAGGGCAGTTGGGGGTGATCAGGCCTGCAGGGGAGGGCAGTTGGGGGTGATCAGGCCTGCAGGGGAGGGCAGTTGGGGGTGATCAGGCCTGCAGGGGAGGGCAGTTGGGGGTGATCAGGCCTGCAGGGGAGGGCAGTTGGGGGTGATCAGGCCTGCAGGGGAGGGCAGTTGGGGGTGATCAGGCCTGCAGGGGAGGGCAGTTGGGGGTGATCAGGCCTGCAGGGGAGGGCAGTTGGGGGTGATCAGGCCTGCAGGGGAGGGCAGTTGGGGGTGATCAGGCCTGCAGGGGAGGGCAGTTGGGGGTGATCAGGCCTGCAGGGGAGGGCAGTTGGGGGTGATCAGGCTGGCAGGGGACCAGTTAGGTGTCAATCATGCCGGCAGGGGAGTGGTTAGGAGCCAGCAGTCCCGGATTGTGAGAGGGATGCCCAAGGGGTCCCAGATTAGAGAGGGTGCAGGCTGGGCTGAGGGACACCCCCTCAGTGCACAAATTTTGTGCACCAGGCCTCTAGTATATCATAAAATAATTTTATAAACTTGGATCCAAACACATGTCAGTGACTATGGGTTTATAGCTCTTGTAAATATGTTTTTCAAAATTATCCTGATTTCAAGTACAGTCAGAGAAAGACAAGTATCATATGATTTCACTCATCTGTGGAGTCTAATGAACAAAATGAACTAAAATGCAAAATAGGGAGAGACTCATAGATAGAGAGCAGACTGACAACTATCAGTGGCAGGGAGGAGGGGTTGGGTAGCTGGATGGGGGGGTGGAGGGATTGAGTAAAACAGAAAAAAATATAAATCAAGGCTTAATTTATGGCTTTGTTAATTGTACAGACTTAAGAACGTGATGCTAATAATGCCGATTCTACTTAAAACTGTGTCAAGTCTGTAGCTGTTACATTGTGATGAGCACATCGAACAGGAAATGTTCTTTTAGATACAGCAAAAAAAAATCACTCATAGCATTGACAAATGAGTGATTTCCTAACTTCTTTGTTGTTTCACTTTCAGGTACTTGCTAATGAAAATACCAGCCAATATTCATGTCAAAACTATGCTTGCCACTCTACACACAAGAGTTCCATATAAATCAATGAGTCCATTGTCTTAGAACCAATTGCCTATATGAAATTTACAATAAAAGCATTTCTATTTTATTGTTATTTGTGAATTGTATGCTGCACACGCTTTATAAAAGGAAAATTTATAAACTTGAGTATGCATATACGCAAGTTGTCCAACAGGGGGCATATACATGCACACGTTTTTCTTTTTCAGAGAATCTAAAGACTTAGCCACTTCCCTCTGACTCCCCTCAGAAGCCCCTCATCTCTTCCCACAAGACCACCAGGCCCTGTTGCAGCCACCAGGACCTTAGGCCAAGTGAGGTCACGGTGGGCCCGGGGAAGGGCCTGGAAGCTCCAGGCCGAGGAAAGGAAGGCCCGTGTTTACAGTGAGGGCCGGCTTCAGAATGGCCTTTGTGTGCTCAGGGCCTTTATTTATTTTCACACCAGCCTAAGGCCTTTGACCCCAGTTTAAAGTCAAACAACAGGAAGAAAGGTCCTTTTTTATTTCCCATAGGGATTGGCCACATGGTTTGGAGAGAGAACTTGGGGATGCTGTGAAGGCTTGGCCGGGTCATCCCAGAGCGCTGGAACCACAGCTCGTGTTAGAACTGGAACGGATGACCCATTGCCTCCCGGAGGCCATGCAGCCGCGGAATCCCGCCCTCAGGCGGGTACCTCTCTGTTTCCTGTCATGCTGTTGTCCTGCAGGGGGCATACTTATTTATTTCATTATTTTATCCCCGTATAATTTATACCCTAAATCAAGCACTGATTTCCAGGTCAGAGAGAACTGTTTCTTATTGTATGTGTGTTTTTAAACATATTTTTATTGATTTCAGAGAGGAAGTGAGAAAGAGAGAGAGAGAAACATCAATGATGAGACAGATTCATTGATTGGCTGCCTCCTGCACACCCCACACTAGGGATGCAGCCCTGACCAGGAATCAAACCATGACCTCCTGGTTCATAGGTCGATGCTCAACCACTGAGCCACACCGGCAGGGCAAGAACTGATTTTGAGTCTTTGCAAGTGTGTTAACTACTTAGAGCCTTGACTCCTTCATCTGGGAGGTGGGGAGAGTAACACCTCTGTGCAGGGTCGTTTGGAGTGTCTCACCATTGCTGCAGGTGGATTATTAGCACAACGCCTAGTAGCGGGCAATGCTCAGGGAAATACCATGTCCTGACTGCTCATAACTGCTCCCTCTGTGGGAATTAGGAAGAGGCCAGCGCATGTATAGCAACTCAATCTGAACAAATGAAAATGAAGCTTATTATTCTTAATAAATAGGCTTTTACTGAGCAGCTGCTATGAGTGGGAGTATCACCCAGTTTTCTAGTCACTCATGAGCGAAAAGCAGGTAGAGTATTGGTTTTAATACTTTCTCCCTCTCATGAGTGATAAAAGGGGTTGCGAGCTGACTCCAAAGTTGCATTCATTTTTGTATTAACCAAATCTTCGTTGAGATTCTACTATGTGTCAGACACTGGGCTCGACTCTGGAAATGCAGAGGTGAGTGACCCAGACAAGGTCCCTGCTCTCATGAGGCCTCCAATCTAGGTGGGGTGCAGGGGTCATCTTTTAAAAATCCACACAGATAGTACAACTATGAACTATGGTAAGTGACCTAGAAGAAAAATATAGGGATCTCTAAGCACGTGCAAACAGAAGACCCTGATCTAAGAACATAAGGAGAAAGATTTTTATATAACTGAAAAGAAGGGAAGGGAAGGGAAGGGAAGGGAAGGGAAGGGAAGGGGAGAGGAAGGTGAAGGGAAGGGAAAAGACAGGACTTGCTTCTGCTGGGCATTTATATTTGGATGTGGTCTCAGACTATCTTGCTACCAAGAGAAAAGCAAAGCTGAAAGATAAGCCATTATGCAAAGATTGTCAAAGTAAAATGATTTTTAAAAACTTGGGTTTTTCACCCACTTCAGGATTTCTAATTATGGGAGATAAAAAATCCTCTGTAAGTTAGAGCTTTTGCTTCTTACTGCTGAAAGAAAAGAAAAGTCACTGGTCTAGGAAGAGGGTCAGAATGTCTGTCTCGCTAACCCCCTAGGACTTTCAAACAACAGAAGATACAAATCCTCCAACTCATCCCTCTGCTTGGTTGTTCTTCCTCCACCCACTGAGTCCCAAAGCTACATGTTCTGGGACAGACAAAAGTCCGTTTTGTTTTGTTTCATGAATAAGTAGCTGTTTGGTCACCAGGATTACCAGGCAGCTGTTATTTCAGCCTGGCCCGTGCCGCTCCCCCGGGGGAAAGCGATGCGGCTGCTGTCACTGCTGTCTAGTCCCGCGCGCAGAGGAGCCAGGGCAGCCTCTGAGCATCCCTACAGAGCAGGTGTCCAGTCTCTCCCCAGATGAACAAACATCAAACGTTCTCAACTTACAAGCAAGCTCAAGAACAAAAATATCACCGTCTCGCACAATGTTTGGCCCATGCAAGAAAGGTGACGTGGTTGAAGTCATGTACATCATGTTTAAATATCATACTCGAGATCTAAAAGGCGAATCAGAAATGGAAGAGAGCGCCTATCGCAAAAATCCTTTGTATCAGTTGTGGTAAAAAGTTGGAATCTCCAATAAAAATAAAATGGAAGAGTAAGAGAGGAGATAAGCATTCCCGAGTCCTGTAAGTAACAGACTGTTTCTAACACTATTTATGCGTGAGAAGTTTTAAGGCACCCCGACATGAACATGGGCTCCTACAGGCTGTTTGTTTTACAGACACATTTGGAGGCCGATGGTGTCCCTGCAAGCTTTCCCATGATATCAACAGTAGGTGATTCTCTCATGCCTGTGACCTCCTTCCTGTTGCTGTCATTCAAGTCACATGACCATGACGAGACAGACCCACGGGGCTCCACCTGCTGCCTCACTGTTCAGGTGTCCATTGCCTTCTGTTATTCGCTCTGGGTCTCTTGCAAATTCCCTTCACTCACCCTACTCCTCACCTGGAATCTTCAAAATCTAATTTATAATTTGTTTTTGACCCATCACCACTATGCCATTATATAAACTTTCTCCTTTCATTTTCCATCTGGGAAAAATGGTTCATCATCTTTTCTAGACTAAGACACCCGATAAGCTCCACGTTTTTCTTAAGACCTAGAAAAATCAGGTCTCTCCAAGTCCCTTCTGGAGGAATTCATTTTTTTTTTGACCACCGGAACCACAGTGTTGATTTCAGCCCAATATTCCAGGCTGAGGAAACAAGTTTTAATCTTGCTTCTATTGTGATCACTCTGGTGATAGCATCTGTCCCCTGACACGTATAATGTAATGGGTTAGAGCTCTAGTTCCGGCATCAGGAAAATGTAAGTTCAAATCTCGCCTCGACCACTTACTAACTGTGGACTTAAGCCACTTCCATTCTCTAAACTTCAGTGGAGATAAAAAAAACAATGGTATTCCTCAAAATGGATTACATGAGAGAGTCTCAGAAAGATTTTGCAACAGGGCCTGGTGCATAATATTCATTCAACAGCATGAATCGTTTTTTTAATGTTGATCTGTACCTGCTCTCTGGTCTCAGCAAAGTCGTCTGTCAAACGGTAAGAAGGAACAAAGGCCGCAGCCTCCCTGTGCTTTCTGAGAGGCCTCCCTCCGGGTCAGTGCTTTTCAAACTGCAGCTCAGGAATCTAGCAATCAGTTTAGAAGGCCATTAGCTGGACATTTTTAAATTAGAGTAGAATGTAAAAAAATTACAGGATAGAAGACAAGTCAGAGAAAGACAGGAGAGAAGAGAATAGAATAGAATAGATCAAAGTCCATTTCGTGTTGCAGGGACTACGTGGTGATACGAATAGGAGGATCCAATGTAAAAGCATTTCTTGCTGTGTCACAGTGAGGAAAGAGGAAAAAAAGGTTTGAAAGCTGCTGCTGTAGGCTGATGCAGAGCTATTAAATACTGTACTTAAATACGGTTTAGGAGGGACATTACTGCCCCCTACTGGAGCTATTCTTGATTTCTCACAGAGATGGGACACCATAGGTTAGCAAAGGCCCTGACTGTCATTGCCCACATGACCTCAGCCATCCTCTCCTATCCCATCTGAAGGCTCACTTGGAGGGGACTCACCCCTTGAGCTACCTCAGTGCCCTCAGTGATGAGTCAAGGCAGCACTAGAAGTAGGACCTTGAAAATAATTTTATAGCACAGCGTCCTTCCCTCCTACCCGCCCCCCACAGTCTCTCCTGGGAAACTGAGCTGAGCAGCCCCATGACTGATTCTCAGCCACATGTTATCCTTGGTCCCACCTCTGCCCCATCCCACATCCCAGCTGGGCAGAGCCTTCCCAGCCCTACGCAGCCACCTGTCTCTGCTTCTCTGGGGAGACTACACCCCTTAGAGGAATGCAAACCAACTGCATGTTCTCAGAGCCAGGATGCCAGCAGCCTCCATCCTCCAACCCGCTGAGGTCTGAAATAACTGACTGGGGTTGCCATAGCCAGATCCTCAGGGGTCTCCCACCTCCCCTCCTGCTGCTCTGTAGCCCATTCTCATGCTCATCTTTCCAAAGCGCAAATCTGACCACTCTCTCTCCTGCTTATAACCTTTCTGTGGCTCCCCCTCACCCTCAGGGTGAAGGCTAAACCCCTCAGGGTCTGTCTCCAGCGCCCCCTCCAGCCTCTCCTCTCACGTCCGCTCCCTACCTCCTTGACTCGGCTCCAGCTTTGCTGAACTTGCGGCTCTTCTCAGAAAATGCCAGGCCCTCTCCACCCCCTGGCCTGCAGTTAGAATGATAGATCTCTTTCTCAGGACTCGGCTTAGATGTCACTTTTTCCAGGAAGTCCTCCCTGATGCCCTCACTCCCGTGCCTGAGTTAAATTCCCTCCCTGAGTCCCACACAACACACTCCGTGACTGGCTCCCAACACAGTGCTCCTCCTCCTGAATCACATTCATTTACCTAACGTGCCCCTTCCCTCTCCCTGAGGTGGGACGCGCATGCCTGGGCTTGGCATTGAGCAGCACGGACTCTCCTGGCGGGGAGGGCAGCCCTTGGCGCTGCTTTCCCCGTTTCTCTGGCTGCTCCAGGAGGACAAGAGTGGTCTGTCTTCCACGCTCCCTGCCACTTGCCAATCTTCTTATTTTCACATAATGCCCGCCCGAGCCTAGCTGGGCACTTGCCTTGACAACAGCTTCTAGTTTGAGTTTAGTGGATTGTTTTGTTTTCACTGCATTCGTTTTTATTTATAAATTCTAATATGGAAAGCAATGCAAGATTTTCTTTTATAGAATTAATTTATATCAGTAAAGGAAGTAAATCAATTTAGAAAAAGGTTGGCAAATGGCTGTCCAGGTGGCGTGCATGGCGGTAAACGCATGCATACTCACACGCACACGTGCATGGAAGCGTGAAGGTCACTGTGCAGGAGAGAACCCTCCGTTAGTGCAGTAAGTCCTCGGGGCATGAGAGGCAGGGTGCTAAGCACCCGTGTGACCGGGAGAAAATCACTTTTCTGTTTCTTAGTTTAGTCGCCTGTAAAAAGAAGAGAACAAAATTGGGCCATAGAAGCAAATGATTTCATCTCCCGGATACAAATCTCTCTTCCTGCTCATACGACTTGGAAATCACTTGGCTGAAAAGGAACCCACAGGTGATTATACTTTTTATATTAGAAATCAGAGATCTGAGGGGGACAGAGGTCAAACAACTTACACAAGGTCACACTGCAATTTAATGTCAAATTCAAGACCTGAATCCAGGTTTCCCCACCCCGGTGATCTGTTTTTCTCCTCATTCTGAAACCACCCCCTTATGAAACACACACACACACACACACACACACACACACACACACACACACACAATATAAAACCATCTTGAAATAATGGAAAAATAAATAAGAAAAAGATAAAGGCCATATTTAACAATGTTAAATAGGGAAGTAATATACCTGGAAGCTGAGAAAATATGTTACAGGGCTTTCCACAATGCTGTAATTCCCTTGTTCTTTATGTGGGTTAGACACCAGGAGCCAGGCAGGCCACACAAGTTTAAGTGAATCACCTTTGGTTACTATACATGTATAATAAAACCTGCTTATGTAGATCAGATCCGATCACCACTTCACCCTCTGTGGGTCATGAAAAACAGCTTCCTCAAGATTTCAAGGGGGATAGTCACCCACATTTTTTAAATGGAATTTTTAAACACTTTTAAAACTATCTCAGCAGAGCAATTTGCATATAGGATGTAGTCCCTGCAATGACACAGTGCAGCGTTTTCTTCTACCCTTGTCTTTGCAAGTGCGCTGAACATGTTTATCGCTGAGCTGGTTAGAAGCAGACTTACCAGATTTACAGATGAACCAAAGTGCACAGGATCAAAACATTTTAACCAAAATTCCCAATGAAATGTAAAATGGGTAGATCTAATGGCCTTCATTTAAATATATATATTTAATATATATGTAATTATTATATACTAGAGGCCCGGTGCACAAAAATTTGTGCACTCAGGGGGGGGGGGTCCCCCAGCCCGGCCTGTGCCCTCTCGCAGTCTGGGACCCCCAGGAGATAACGACCTGCTGGCTTAGGCCTGCTTCCGGGTGGCAGAGGGCAGGCCCAATCCCTAGGTGCAGCCCCTGGTCAGGCTCAGAGCAGGGCCGATTGGGGAGTTGGGGCGC